TGCCCAACTGCATACCTTTGCCCTTTGGCAAAGCATTGAACCTACAAAAACGTTAGCTTGCATTCCAGCTAGGGAAGAAGAGGGAATAGCCCATACTTGGCCTTGTTCTTCTCGGCTTCATACGTATCGTAAGACTCGGTAACAGCAGGTCGCACAGGCGGTGTGTATGTGGGATATACGGGCGTCCGGGGTACTGCGGAACGTCCAGTTCTGGCCGACTCCTTGCGCTGCATCTCCAACTGCTTGGCTTTCCTCTTGCGCTCTTCGGTGGCCTCCAGCTCCTTGTTCCGGGCAATAATTTCCTGGATGCGCTCCTCGTGACTCTCCATCTCGAGGAAGGTCTTGATCTGACTGATGGTGAGGTTCTCGCGGTAACCGAGGGTCACCAACTCGTCGAAGGCGCTGAGCAGTTCGTAGGCATTTCGGAGGATTTCGCGCTCGTCGAGGCTCTTGCAGGTGCTGGTGACAACCTGGGCAAAGAGGTGGAGGGAGTCGATGTCCTGGAGGATGTTGGACTGCTTGTTGGTGATGAGAACCATGTACAGCTCATCCAGGGGCTGGTAGACGAATCGGACATTGTCTTGCTCGACAATGGTGTGCTGGGTGCCCGAGTCGGCGGCCTTGGGGAACGAGGCGAGGAGGGCTTCGATGCGGGAGCGCTTGATATCGTTGAAGGCGCGGGCTAGGACGGCCTTGCCGCCGCGGGTGCAGATGGAGGCAGCGAGGACAACCTGACATGTTCCGTCAATCGCTTCTTCCCACTAGGAGACAGGGATGAATGAGTTACCATTTTGACAGCAGCAAACAACCACTACTACTGACTTGGAGGGATTTTCGTGGTGCGGGGAGCTTCGGGATGTGTTGAGGTCAGTCCAGTCGTGAGCTTTCACCTCCTGAAAGTTAACGTGGACGGGAAGGTTGATGTGGTCTTTCCGTTGCCGTGCTGAGGTGCGCTGTCGGTCAGGTCCAATTGAACTGGAGGTACCATTTGGAGGTACCCCGGCGGGCAGCGATACCTGGACGGCAGCTTCAATGCAGCGTCAAGTCAAGTTCAGGCCAGAGCAACGGCGGCAGTGTGGCCGACGAGGGGCTGCCAGCTGGCAAGGGAAATCCAGGGGCACACCAAGATTAGGCACCCACAAGGCCCGCTAAACTCCATGCGGCACTTTGCTTGTGATCAATTCTGCGAATTTCACCGTCATTCAAAGACTGCGGCAGTACCTGGGCAACAACCGCACCTTCCTCTGAACAACGCACAACCGCGTGTCGAAATCCTCCGACATCCATTTGCACTCAAACCACCTCCAACTTAGAAACGATTTGCCATCGAACAACCCGTCTCTCGATCGCTTGATCATTGCCCGGACGATACGAGCCCCATTCGCGGATCAACAACTACCCACTCACTATCTTCGTGACGCATCTTTGCCATCAAGAGCACAATCGATTCCATTTGCCTTTCACCCGTCCACCACCTCAGCAGCACCGTGAACGTGAGGCATCGCAATCACCAACCACCTCTTCCAGCAACATACCTCGATTCGATGTGCACTTTTGCCCGGAATACCCACCCCCGAATCATTAACAGCGGTTAAATCGTATTCTCGGCGGATCCCGCCAGTCTACGTGTCGCCTCACAGCCCTTCACCGGTCCATATTGCGCATCCAGAAGCGCCGTTGTTTGTCGGGCGTTCTTTGTCGAGTGCGGAGCGACCCATTCTCAGTACACCCCCGAACTCGTGGTCTTTATACACCTACGGTTTCCCTTGAAACAAGAAGTCACCGTCTTTCCGTCCAAGACATCCACCGAAAACCATCGCCAAGCTCAAGGTTTTTGACCAAGTGCACCAACTTTCTACAACCTCGCTTCTTCATCACGCTTGCTGGACGTACCAAAATCAAGACGTCCCACCCCAAAGAGACTTCGTGAAAGTTTCGCATTACTTCCAGTCTTTCGAACTTGATTCAACTTTCAGGCGTGTTTTTTTTACCTGCAAATTATCACCATGGAGGAAGTTAGCTTGGACGACCCCGTCGAGGCGGGGAGGCCCGTTTTTGACGATGATTTGATGCTAGATTCCGGCATGCAAGCCGACGAGCTTGTCTTAGAACTCGACGACCTACACGATAAGGATGACGGGTACCAGACCGTTGATCTTGACGCCCAACCCGCCACGGCCGATCTGGAAGTCGCAGTCGATGGCATCGAGACGCAGCCTACTACGAACGATGAACATGCAGAGGCGTCAGGCCACGCCGAGGAAGATGGTCATGATGTTTCTATGACATACAACGATGAGATAGGTTACGAAGATGAGGAGGGCGTTGCAGAAGATGCCGCGACTGAACACGGGCCCGAAGAAACCAACGCGTCCAAAGCGCCACCTGCAAATGACGAGGCTCTAGAACAACGTGAATCGGGACAGGAAGGCCACGACGTCCAGATTGATATTTCCGAGCCCAAAATGGGCGACGATGCGAAAGAACAACCCACCGGTCGTGAGGCGGGCACAGAAAACTCTGGTGATCAGGTGGCTACTCACCAAGCTGCCGAGACCACAGTCGGCCTAGACGTCGATCGTCTTGCAGCTGCCAATCCTCCGGATACAGCTGTCTCAGAAGCTGAACAAACGGGCGAGGTCGTGAGTGAAGATCACCAGCTTGAGGAAAGCCAGAGTGACCATGACGAGGCCATTGTTGATGATGCCGCGTTCAGCATCACAGATATCACAGTCCAGTATCAAGGTAGCAGTTACGCCCTGTTTGGAAACTCGGACATGGATCCTGAGACATACTTCCTCTCCGATACTGAGATCGCAACCGCGCCATTGTCGGAACTACTTGCATCAATCCGCTCTGTCATTGCCTCAGAGTTGACACCCGGAGAAGAGCTGGTTATTGTTATTGACTCGCTTGATTTGAACTTTGGCGAACGGTCCAGCAGGGACTTCTTGCAACGCAGCTTCCACCAGATCATTTACTGCTACAATGTCCTCTTAGCTAAAGGAATCGTTACAGAGACGTCCCTGATGCTCAATCTTGTGGTCCGTCCGGACCCCGAGGGTCGGTTCTTGGAATTGCTCGAGGAGGCTGGCATCTGGAGTGGAGCTGACTACTCTCCCGATTACTCAGACGCCTCTGGAGAGGATGAATATTTGGACGACGATCAGGACATTGAAGATCATGATGACAATGACGATGACAATGAATGTCTCGAGGGTGATGATGATCATGAGGATGCCCAAGACTATGAATTCGATGACCAAGAGCATCAAGGCGAGGAAGCTCAGCAAGATCAAGATCAAGAAGAGAAAGAAGATGACGGAGAGCCAGAGGGCCTTGAACTCACTGAGAATGCCGAAATCACCGAGGATGTCGAGGTTGCTGAAGACATCGAAGTCAGCGGGGACGTAGCTGAGACTGTGGATGTCACCGTCTCAGCTGGAGACATCCAGGCTGAAGCATCGGAGGAACACACGGAGCCTCAGGTCACCCATGATGTCGCCGAGAATCAGCGTGATGCTGGGCAATTCTCTCTAGAAGAGAACATCGACCAAGCTGCCCAAGCAAAGCCATCTGCAGATATCAACGGTGAAAGCCACATTGGTGCCGGTGAATCCACTCACGGTCCTTCAGGCATAGTTGATGTCGAACATGAGATGGGTGGTGATCTCGGAGAGCTTCAGCCCAACCTGGAGGGGACTGGCAGTGAATTGGAGCATGCTCCCGAAATGAAGTCTGCCATGGACGAACCTCAGCTGGAAAATGATGATCATACAGATGTTGTCAACGAGGAAGAAGAAGAGAAGGCTTGTGACGAGGACGAGTACCTCGAGAATCATGAAGATGCTGAGGGCGAGGAGCAAGACGACGATGAAGCCAATTACGCAGCGGGGGCGGAGGAGTTTGGTGATGACTTGACTCTCAGGCAGACACTGGACGACGGCAACTTCTCCCTCGATATCATGGAAGAGTCTACCGAAGGCAACGCAGTGCTCGGCCTTGACAACAATGAAACTGGTAAATGCCCTTCTTTATTTTTGTCAACCCAACACGACCCCGGCGCACACAGCCACCCACACGTTTCCCACACAAGCGAAGCCAAGGATGACGATCTCATCGACTACACGGACGATGAAGCTCCAATCCATACCAAGCCTAGTCTTAAACGAAAGCCCGGTTTCCCGGACCTAGGCTTAAGGGCAAAGAGGATGAGACCCGGGCCAACGGATGGGACATTGCCGCCACTGCATTTCCGTTCCGACTCACCTTGCATAGAGAAATCCAACAGCCCGGTCAACTTCTCTGCACCCCAGCGGGGCAGTGGAGGTCGTTTTCATTTCCACAAAGACTCCGATTTAAGCGTCACCTTTTCTGCTTACGATGCTGACCTGCCCTATCAAGGAACCAACGATATTAGCACCTCGCGCAATTTGGACTCTGCCACCATCCAAGAACAGCACACTGACGACGACCCTAACATGGACGACTACACTGAAGTAGAAAATGCGCTCGAAGTCGAGTACACGCATGACACATCGCATCTCACAATCAACACTACCGACTCGAGGGACCAGACTGAAGAACGTGCTCACGACTTCACAGCCGAAGAACCCGCCAACCACACGAGTACAACCAATACCATGAGTGGCGACGAGATTGACTACGACGAGCACGAGGAAGAGGATGGCTCCTTCGAAACAGAAGGTCAAGCCCAGGAGTTCAGCAATGCTCAGGATGACGATGACGAAATCGGATGGGGAGATGATGGAGAGGACAACGATGAGTCCACACAGCAGACCGCAACCTCTCAAGACCAGCCACCCTTTACAGCAAAGAGAGGACGGGCTGATGAGCTGGATGAGGAAACCGAAGAGGCCGGTAAGTTCAACGCTTGATCTGCACGGGAAAACACCTCGCTAATCAAGACCAATAGTTGTCAAGCGTCGTCGGACCTGATCGGTAAAGTTGTGGTTCAAATGTAGCTCCGCCCAACACCTCCCCATACCCTTTTCTAACCCTCCCAGCACACGTTCCCCTTCCCCTTCCCCTCTAACCGCTGTAGTTCAGCTTTGTGTTTTGTGAGTTGCTTTTGATTTCCCTTTCATTTCCATTGAAAACCGAATCTGAAGGCGCGTTGGGAGAAGCTCCCAGCTTCAAAGATGGTAAGGTAAGCTGAAACGGATCCGCCGTATTCTAAGGGGCCCAGTCAGGTTGGCCCCTGCTTCGTTGCTCTTCCCCCGATCAGCAACACTTAACACCAGGATTCGAGACGGCGACCTCGATAACGCAGCCCAACTTTAGGCTGCAGGCAGCATTCATCAACAATCCGAAAGACTCCCGGGAAGACCTGGGGGACATCTCGCTTCAAGAAGCACAATGCTGGTGAATATACCAAAACACATGCGGTACCTCAGGGATTGCTTGTCATCTTTGCAACCTAAAGCTGCATATCTGGAACGTCTCTCCCTGGGGTTCATATAGCATATTTCCTGTTGTACATATTTTCCTGTACTTTGGTCTTTGGTGGCGTTTGGTGTAACGGCGGTGGCATATTGCTAGGCTATCTTTCAAAAGCCCCTAAGGCTTCAGAGGTGCGTTTGAATTTGGTGGGTATATCCGGGTCACATATGGTCATCGCAGTCGACACAAGGCATGGGGTTCTTCTTTACGAGGTATGTAGAGCCTTTTTTCTGTTTGTGGCGGCGCATTTCGGTCTGGGAGAGGTGGATATAAGGGTTCTGCGAAATCAAAAATAGGTGTTGAACAGAGAGATAGCGAAGGCGGACCACGTAAGGAAAGTCGGATGAGGAAGTTTGGGGTTAGGTATCAGTTTAGATGGGATTATGGATGAACATTTGAGTTCCTCTTATATCTCGATGGCAGAGGCACTGTGAACCAAACGGGAATGATGAACTTTCTTGCAAGGCTGAGACTGTCGATCTGGCTACGTCGTGGTGGAAGTTGAAGCCTCAAACACGCCCAGCTGAAAGAAACTCCACAGCATTCGTAATGTTTTGCTTCGCCACACAGCCGGGCCTCAATTGTAATTACTCTGCAATCCGGCACAGCATACGTGCTCCCAAAAGTGCCTGTTGCTACACAAAGGTTTGTAAATACCAATGTCAAGAAACAAAATTACACTCTCCTTGGCATATTGACATCAGTAATTGAGAAACCCCTTTCCTGGAGACCAGGAGGAGGACGGGACGGAATCTTATCAAATCGCTCTTCCCCGTTCGGATCTAGGGTTAAAGTTTCACACCACTAGTGTGAACCCATTGCTTCCGTTAAGGCGATCAGTCCCGCAAACGTAGGTATGCAGCTAGCTATTTTGTTCAACTGCAGGTGTAATTAGTTGCTGTGATACGCACGGTGATGTGATCAATGGGGCTTCCTTCCTGCGGGCCTTGAGAGAAGTGGATAGAATGGAGACTCTGGACGGAGGACGGAGGAAGAGCTGTTTCGATGAAATGCATAATGTTCCGGCACTTCCAGAGTCGCGTTTCAACTTTTGACGTTTCCCAAACGTCAGGTATTGCGAACGGGAGTTATGCTTGACAAAAAGGCATCATCTCAATACGTGCCACACACAAAGGCCTAGAAACATCGGAGATAACATGCCCCTACTCTATATCAGATGTTGGTTGAAGTCACTTTCCTCGCCTTGAATACTAGACTTTTACATATATGTCAGGCACAGGGGAGGGAGGCTTCCAAGACTAAAATAAAAGTGCGGGGGCAGTGATCCTGTCAGGTCCTGAACAGCCAAAATTGGAAAGATCAATGGAAGGTCAGACACGCCCGCAGCGAATCCACCCTGTGATGCCGAGGAACAAGGGAAGGAATTATCCTGAGCTCAACAGAATGGGGGTCCACCTACTAGAGAACAAATGAAGGAAGGCGCCGGACGGGCAGCACGGATGAGGCTAAGAAAGATATCGAAGTCGTTACAGCACGAACTGCCAGGCCGCGTGCTGTAGTGTACAAAATTTCAAAGTGACTATAGTGGCGAGGTTGATTGGGCATGTCGGTTCGCCTGATACTGCCATCACCAAACTCTTTTTTTACCTGACTGCACACGCGTGCTTTGGCAACACGAAATCTGTCCTCAATAACGTGCATGGACAACCGAGCACTCAAGACATTTCACAATCCAAGGCACGTACTTATACGTATGTATGAAAGCAAGTTATCCTGGGAGTTTTATGTGGCTGACTAACAGGGACAGGCGCCCTCCCAGAATTGCCAGAGTTACCAGGTTGCCCTACTTATATCCAGGGGTTCAACCACATTTCCGACAGGGGGTGCCGAATCCACGTCCCGCTCTCTTGTGATTCTTGAAACCGTTTTGGCTCCACGGTTCTCCCTCCACCACTGGCTCGACACCCAGACACTGCACTTAGCCTCACCACAGCGCCGACGCACCATCGACAGCGACCACGCCCCCCAGACACACAAAGAGATTCATCAGAACAGCCACCAGCAACAGAAGCAGGGGCCCCTCGAATTGAAACCACCTGGCTCGCTGCCGTGACATTGTACAGGGCTACGAATTTCCCTTAGCACGATTTATCATACGCTACGACTTTTACCTACCTTTACCTAGTCCGCCCACCTTGCCCTGCGCGCTAAAACACCGTTCGAAGAACCGGAGATTCCCCAAGAGCAACCTTGCCTCAGGGCACTACTGAGGAGGCACCACCACCAACGGCACCACCAACGTCCAAGACTCCAAGACACACGACGACACCTTGCCTTACACAACCGATCCGAACGAAGCGAAACCACCCTGACCTGACCTAAGGGAGGGCTTGCAAAACAGACACACACAGCTTGACAATTTTGCTGTCGTCGCTCTTTTACACGCACCGATTGACCTCATCCGTTGCCATCGTCGGCCGTTTGCTTCCGGGCGCGTAGCGGATGCACCCAACCCTCACGACGACCAACTAAGCCTCGGAATCCCATTCTCTTCGTAAATCTCGCCCGGCGCGAGTCCCGACTTTACCTCCCCCACTCCAACTTGGGAGAGGACGACAGCCACCGCGGCTTCCTTACGAACTACAACTGTGCAGCGCAATCTTAAGCTGTCGTTACACTCGTTTGATTCAAGATGTCGTGGATGTTGGAAGAAAAGTAGGCCAAAGCAACAGCAGTCCCCATTATACCTGGGACTCGGTTTCCGGTCGAGAGAAGGACATTCATACTGATGGAGATGTGGACAGGTATATCGGTCTGGCGCTAGCCATGACGTCGAGTTTAGCAATTGGTATGTTTTGCATATCCCTCAGGCAACGTTCAGGAACACCGGCCTCTAACACACTCCACCACACAGGCACGAGTTTCGTGATCACCAAGAAGGTACCGAACCCAGCGATTCCTCCGCTCCGGCCACACTTGCACTTGCCTCGGTTGCGATTACGAACTGCATAGCGAGAGGATACACTGGTGCTAACACTAAGGTTTTATAGGGATTGAACCAAGCAGAAGAGAGACACGGTTTCGAAGGGGATGGCTACGTATACCTCAAGAACCCCATGTGGTGGGCGGGAATTGGATGCAGTATGGAATCCCTACAACCAAAGGCTGTGGTTTGTCCAAAGACACAGGAAGGCTGACATTTCTTTTCCCCGTATAGTGGTTGCTGGCGAGATCTGCAACTTTGCGGCATACGCATTTGCTCCGGCCATTTTGGTCACTCCACTAGGTGCACTGGCAGTGCTAATAGGAGCTGTACTGGGATCGTACTTCCTCAACGAAGAGCTCGGGACATTGGGCAAGTTGGGAAGCGCCATCTGCCTCATCGGTGCTGTCATCATTGTCCTCCATGCTCCCCCTGACGAGGATATCCAGACGATCGACCAGATTCTTAACTATGCTATCCAGCCTGGTATGTCTTGGCTCCTGATGTCGGTTTCGCTTCGCGGTGATATTTAGGCTAACTGTCTTTACCAGGGTTTCTCCTTTACTCGGCTTTGGTATGCGGTTTTGCCGGGTTCATGATCTACAGGGTCGCTCCGGTCTACGGCAAGAAGAACCCCCTCGTCTATCTTAGCATTTGCTCCACCGTTGGTTCAATCTCGGTCATGGCTGTCAAGGCTTTTGGTATTGCGCTGAAGTTGACCTTTGCGGGCAACAACCAATTCAGCCACCCTTCGACCTATGTCTTTATGATCATCACCGCTGTCTGCATTCTGACGCAGATGAACTACTTCAACAAGGCCCTCAGCCAGTTCCCTACCAATATGTGGGTTTTGAGGTTCAAGTTCTGGAAAAACATGGGAACTCCGTTAACATATTTTCTAGTGTCAACCCTCTGTACTACGTCACATTCACCACCGCCACCCTTTGTGCCTCGTTCATCCTCTTCAAGGGCTTCAACACCACCGAGCCTGTCGCCACCCTTTCGCTTCTTTGCGGTTTTCTGGTCACCTTTACCGGAGTCTACCTACTCAACCTAAGCCGCGGCGACCCCGATGGCACCAAGCACCTCGCACGACGGAGCCGCGGCGATGCCACTGGTACCGATATGATCTCAGGTCTGCAAACCCGCATGAGTATGGAAGCACGGCGCTCACAGGGACGCATGAGCACAGGCAGCAACCGCGACCGCGACGGTCTCATGAGGGCGTACGACGAGGAAGAAGCCCTTGGCCTGGCCGATCTTGCCGAGGATTCGGACGAGGAGGATGACGACCCCCGCTCGCCCATGATCGGCAGCTTCAGACACAGCAACGGAGGTCCGGCCAATGGAAACGCAACGACGACAACATCAACAACACAAGGAGGGCGTCTCGCCCCTAACGGAAAGAAACACGCGGTCGGCGATTCGATAGAGATGCAAAACAGGAAGAAGTCTGGAGAGAGATGAATACGATACCCCGAAGTCCAACCGAGAAAATATTCTTTTTTTCACTTTCGCTACTCTTGTTTTCTTCTCTCTCCTGTTTTAACTCGCATATTGTTCTTCCTCAACGCAATAGACCGACTAGGCTATATGGGACATAAAAGGGGGCATGTCGGTTGTTTCATTTTCTCTGTTTCGTTGACCGGAAGGCATGGTGGACTCGAAGCGCAATCCAAGTACTCATGTACCAAAACCAATCTCCCTACGCTGACTACTTTACACGCATGCTTGCCTGTTTTCCGAAAATACGAAAGTTGGGAGATCGGTGCACCGCTCGACGGAATATCAATGCGAACGAAGTTCGTTAGGAATAGCTGTATAGGCCCACCTACTGAGTTCGATCGAAGTTGCCCGGCCTTATATTGACGGCTTGAGGTTCTCCCTAAGGGGCAACCTTCGTTTGGAGGGATCATTGACAGCTGGCCCACTTGAGTGTATCCTACAAAAGCTCTCGAGCAAAAATGAGAGGCATAGATGAGTGGGGATGAGTGGGTATAGGTTAATACCTACAACCTGTAACGGCCCGACAGAGATTGATGATCTATCTACCGTACACGCAACATCGAAAGGGAAGAGAAGACGCTTGAGGGATATATAGACAACATACGGAAGTGAGTGACGGGAAGGCAGGGCAGGAGGAGATGCAGAAGACAAGAAAGGGATCATCTACGCGGAACCGTGGGAACGGGAACGAAAGGGGAACGGTTCCATAGATGATCGAGTACTGCTACAATAAGAGAGATTTGTTTTGCGTTTGAGGTCACTCTTCTTATGTATGATTTACGGGGCACTAGAAGAGGTTCATCACTAAGATACCTACAGCAGGCCAGAGCACAGGTTGGCTTAGTTGGATCTGGGTCAAAGCTATATCAACCTACCTCTGTACCCAGACTAGAGCCTGATATATCCCCTCTTGAAATCACCAGGCAGGCACAAGTCATGACATAGAGTTACCTACCCATAGACTATATCTAGTACACAGCCAAATTGCGCATTCTGTCTCCTTTACCATCGCCTTCTGCCTTTCTGAGCCCATGAACTCAACGATTGGGCATGTGCCAATCGAAAATATTCGTAAGTTGTTTTGTATCCAGTCGTGGTAGTTACGTAGCGTGCTTCCACGGCTGACTATTGGTGGAGGCAGTACGATTTACCCCTGAGCGAACAGTGCCCATTGTCAATATTTACCTATTTTGGATTATGCAGGCGGGTTGACGTGGGTAGGTATACAGCATGATATCATATTCCAGACTCAGTTTACTTCTCCATGTGTCTCACATCACTACCTTACGGGTATCATCTCCATTATCATGAGAAGATGAGCACATATCGATTTATCAGTGAGGCAAGGCAGGAGAGGAGGGCTTGTTCAGGTATCTTATTTCCCTGGCGAAGTCAGGAATTTCCTGACGTTGCTGCTTTGTGATCATGGAGTTACAAAAACAATTCCTAATCCCGAGCAACAATCCGTCCGCCATTTCCCCTTTTCGCAAGTCTTTAATGCAAATGTGCTATGACCATAGTTGACGCCAAAGTGAACCCATCCATTTCCGCAACCCAGTGTTTGTTTGAGCTTGCAAGCACATTGAAAAAAGACCCCTCCCAAACCCAGCGTCCTTTACCAGCCTCCGGTATACTCGTCCAGCTGGGAGAATCCAAACTCCGCCACTGGAGCGGCCTCGGGCTCGTCAAAAGACACAGGAACCTCGGTGATAGGCATAACCTCATCTGATCCGACCTTGAGGGTATCCTACTCCTCAGCGGCGGGGGCAGCGGCCTCCTCCTCACCGGCCTGCTCCTCCTGGCGGGCAGCCTCAGCGGCAGCCTGGACCTGAGCGGCCTTGGCACCGTAGTCCTGGCTGATGGGCTGGGTAACGGGCTGCTCCTCCTTGGGCTCGATGATGGTGACGGCGTCAGGGAGAGTCTTCTGGGGGCCGGACTTGCCCTCGGGGTCAGAACCGCGCATGATCTTGACCTTGATACCGAGGACACCCTGGCGGAGGAGAACGTGGCGGGTGGCGGAGTCGATGAAGTCCTTAGCGGGCTGGCCGGAGTGGATCATGAAGCCATCGGTGAACTTCATGGACTTGGCGCGAGCAGCGCGGAGCTTGCCGGAAACGACGACCTCGCAGCCCTTGGCGCCGGACTCCATGATGAAGCGGAGGACACCATAGCAGGCACGACGGACGGCAAGACCGTTGAGGAGCTTGTAGCGGAGGGACTCGCACTGAGCGACAGCGGAGAGACCACGGTTCTGGACCTTGGCGGCGTAGAGAGAGACAGAGTTCTCAGGGAACTTGAAGCGCTTCTGGATGAGCGATGTGAGCTCACGGATGCGGCGACCCTGCTCGCCGAGAACCTCCTGGGTGTGGGTGGCGCGGATGATGATGTCGGTGACGGTCGGGGTAACGCGGACCTCAACGCCGGAGTAGCCCTCCTCAGCAAGCTCGCGCTGGAAGAACTCGTTCAGCTCGGCGTAGAAAACGCCATCAGCGACGAACTTTCTGCGCTTGGAACTGTAGACAGAAAAGAGAAGTAGTCAGCATCAACGCCGCTTTTGTTGTTTCCCAAGCCACCACTATTCCAATCCCGTCCCCGTTGGTTCAATCTGCTGCAACAAGCGGGCAGCATTTTCCCGGCTTCGTAACTGAAGGCCTTCGTTTTGCATTTGCACCACACAGCAGCAGCAGATCGCACCGACGTGGAAACAGACGTGTAAACGTGTAGTAGACGTGTAGGAGGCTTCCATGCTCTTGGTTTGCTCTGGTTGCTTACATCTGGGTGCCGGGAACAGCCATTTTTGCGATTTGGCTATGAAGGTCCTGGGGGCTTCAATTGTGCTGCTGAGGAGGATGGAGTGGGATACCTTCTCGCGGTGTTCACCGGACTTTTCAAAAAGATGGGGGGAAATTCGACTGGCACAGCTACTTTTTGCGAATTCCTTGGTGGGCTGTCCTTTACCGCTTCTGAGTGGCTGGCGGAGTAGGGTTAACAGCCGCCACGGCTTATCCCGGCTGGCAAGCGGCTGGCAGTGTGCACCCAGTCTGCGCGCCCAACGCCAAAAGCCGCCAAGCGCAACCCAAAAGGGAACGTACAGATCTCACATGTGGGGTCGCTTCCTTGGGCTTCCTGTCCAGGCCCAGCCTTGCGCCCAGACCACCTCGTGCACTTCGTCCATTGTCGTTGCGCGTTCGAGCGATTTTGACACCGGCAGGCATTACCTACGAACATCCCTCAGTCGGGTTCGGGGTGGTGCTGATAGTGGGGTAACCGGTTGCTCCATCGACGTCAATCGTCGCTTCCCCGGCCCAGGGCACGATGCTGCCCAGCTCCAGTTGCTGACCTTCTGCTTGTTCCCAAACCGCAGTCACAATTCGCATCTGATGCCTTTGGATCCAGACGGCAGGGAGGTTAAGCATCAGAAATTTATCAGTGTCTGTCGCTATAGCCGCCTTACCTCTAGACCTCATCTGGACCTCAGGCCAATCACTCGACCTTACAAGGTCCCGTGGATCATTCATCTTTGACCGGCACCGGTGACTACACGGCGGAGCTCCTCCTTTTCGTTTATATCAGGACACATGTTCCTGATTGGTACATCTTCTATTTCCCAGTCCTGACTCTGGCATTATTGTACAACTACGATACACTTAGACGAAGTATATCTCCCCTCCCAGTTCCTCTCGCCGCAACCGCATTGTCAACGTTTTGCCCCCTTGTCTGGACAACCTGGGTCTCGGACGTTCGGCCTCCTGCCCTGGCTGCACAGCGCCTCATAGTGCCGGGGTAGTTTATATTTACTTCCCAACATCACGATGGCGGCGCCTCACCTTAAGCACGTATGCTCTCCATGACACCCCGATTCAAACCTCGTTTTGTGTCTTTACTGAACTCAAGGCTAGACTTTCGCCAACATACATGCTTTGCGAGGCGGAAAGCCGGAACTCGGCGACCTTGCGCTCAGTGACTACCATCTCGTTTTCCGCTTCCCCCCCGAGTCTCTGACTGCCACAGATCCGAATCTGAAAAAGAGTGTGAAGCAAGTGTGGTTTGCCTTTCACATCATTTCGCAATGCACCTTGCGACCCACGCCCCCTTCTAGTGGCGTTCCTTCCTCGATACGTATTCGGTTCAGAGACTTTACATATGTTAGCTTCAACTTCTCAGATGATCAGGAAGCCCGGGAGGCATTTGAGTTCATCAAGGCCAGAACATGCAAGCTTGGAAGCGTCGATAAGCTTCTGGCCTTCAGCTACCGGCCTCCATCCAATGCACCCGAAAGCAAAATCAATGGTTGGGACATATACGATGCCAGAGCCGAGTTTCGCCGGCAAGGTATAAGCGAGAAGTCACGCGACTTGGGATGGAGGATTTCGACGATCAACAAGGACTACTCCTTTTCCCCGACCTATCCGGGGTTCCTTATTGTGCCCTCCAAGATATCCGACATCACGCTGAAATATGCTGCGAGTTACCGGTCCCGACAGCGAATACCGACTCTCACGTACCGCCACCCGGTGAACAACTGTACCATTACAAGATGCTCGCAGCCACTTCCAGGCATATCGTTCAAACGCAACATCCAAGACGAATCTCTGGTCAGCGCGTGCTTTTCGGCTTCGACAGAGTTTGCAGGCGGCGCCTCTCTCGACACAACAGTTGAAAGCCCGCCCCCGAGTACGGCCGATCTCACGACAGAGAGCGAGAACACTGATGGCTCAATATCGGATATTCAGAAGGCGGAGGATGAACTTACTGTTGGTGGCACTATACTTTACGACGAAAAGACTGGCAAGAGACTGATATATGGAGCTCAGCAACAAAACCTGATTGTCGACGCTCGACCGGTAATCAACTCCTACGCGATGCAGGCAATAGGATACGGCACCGAAAACATGGAGCACTACAAGTTCGCCAAGAAAGAATACCTCAACATCGACAACATCCACGTCATGCGAGAGTCGTTAGAAAAGGTTATCAGCGCCATCAAGGACGCCGATGTGTCACCCTTTCCCCCGAACAAAGAGCTCCTGGCAAAGAGTAAATGGCTGAAACATATAAGCGGTATCTTGTCCGGATCAGCCTTGATTGCGCAACGAGTAGGTATCCAGCACTCCAATGTCCTTATCCACTGTTCCGATGGATGGGATCGTACAGGCCAGCTCAGCGCACTTTCTCAGCTGATGCTTGACCCCTATTACCGCACTCTTGAAGGCTTCATTGTGCTGGTTGAGAAGGATTGGCTATCCTTCGGGCACATGTTTCACCTTCGGTCAGGGCACCTCAGTCACGAGGACTGGTTTACAGTGGACGGCGATGCACTCGCAGGGACTGCCGTGAGGCCCGGTGAAAACGATGGTCGGCAAGACCATTTTGAGAACGCTATAGCCGGTGCAAAGCGTTTTTGGACCAAGAAAACAGCCCCCGGGAAGGACGCCGTTACTGATGCGGATGGGACCCCTATCGAGACCGCCGTGGAACCTGCAGTTGCCGAAAATATGGCAACAAGACCTAAAGATATCTCGCCTGTCTTCCACCAATTCCTTGACGCCACCTACCAGCTCCTCAGGCAACACCCGACTCGCTTCGAGTTTAATGAACGGTTTCTGCGCCGCTTACATTACCATGTTTACTCCTGTCAGTACGGTACCTTTTTGTTCAACAACGAGCGCCAACGCCACGAAGCACGGTTGCAAGAACGCACAAGAAGCGTGTGGGCCTACTTTTTGAGCCGACGCTCGGAGTTTACGAACGAGCAGTACGATCCCACGGTTGATGACCACGTCAGGGGCCGTGAGCGTATAATAATTCCTCGTTGCGACGACGTGCGGTGGTGGCATCAGCTTTTCAACCGGACTGATGATGAGATGAATGGTGATCTGAATGCCTTGGCCGCAACAGCGGAGCGTGTAGCTGCCTATCAGCAGACTTCATCGTCGTCAGAGCTTTCAGGGCCTATTGATGCGGGTACGTCTGACGCGAATAGCAACCCATCGTCGTCCGGGGCACCATCGCGGACATCGGCAAGCCCCACCCGGAGCCCGCTGCCACCGGGCTTGGCAGCTACTACTGCCGGAGGGTCCGTGCTTACCGGCGCGGAGTCGGCGCACGATGTTCTGACGCCCGGGACTAGGAGTCCGGCGCCACTCAACCGAAATGCTGTCGCTGGAGATCCTACGGGCACTTTCGCAGCTCTTCAGGAGAGGATTTCCGGACTGTCGCTTGGAAAGGCTATGTTCGGCGGCGGCATTGGTGGCAGCACTGGGCGGAACTCCATTGGCGGAACCGGCTCTGATTCCGGGCGGAATTCGCAGAATGAACTGGTGGAGCAAGAGATGAAGAGCATGGAGTAGATGGAAGAAGAAAGCAATTGGGGGAGCAAAAGGCTACAGTAGAACTAATAGATGGGCGACTGGTTGCGTAATGGGAATAGCACGTTGGAACAGCATGTTCGCAGATGAAGCGAGGTTAGCGATGACTTTGGTGGTAGTAATGCCTGACTTTATAAGACAGCGAAATATCAACATCACATATTCCATAACCAACAACTAAGTTGCATGTGATAAGCTATTTGGCAGTGAGTTGCAGATTGGATATGAAATATTGTAACCACTGCCCTCAAGCTGTGATCAGGCAGGGGCAATCGTTGATGCTAATCAGTTTCCGGCTCTTAAGTCTCGGTTGCTCCTGCCATATATGTCATTGGGTTCCGGGAGCTGTACTACCTCGTATTTCATTTAGGTCTCCCTCCAGTGGCTTGCTACAATCCTACATCATGACGAAAGGCAACTTGAACAGAAAGAGCGGCTCAACGTCACGGATTTGAAGTGAAAGAAGTTATTGCCCATTTGGCATATGATGAATCTTTGTGGTACAATACAGCGAGTGGTGCTTGACGAACGGGCGGCTATCTACGTCCCAAGCTGAAAAGCCGAGTGGTCAGTGCTCCTTCCTTCCACTTCCTCACCCTTGTCCGCCCGGGCCCCGTCATGAACTGGACCCCAGCGTTGCGGGTCAGGTCAATTTGTGTCGCAGACCGGGTCCAGTGTCCCGCCGTGGGTTGATTGCCCTGCTGCCCTGCTGCCCTGCTGTCCTGCCTGTTGCTGCTCCTCCTTGTTGCGGCCCTGCGGGACCACCAAGCTCGCTTCGACCTCCAACCGCACCTAGGTGAATCCCCCCCAGAACAACCACCGTCAACCCTCCATCCAGCAACCCTTATTCTCAAGCAAACCCGTCCATTCAGTATCATTCCTCGCCTGCTTTCTGCCCGTTGTGTCGTGGCGCCGTGTGTGAGACGACGCTGAAGAGATCGCATCCAATTCCGATTCCGACCCGACGAAGCGTCACTCCTGCTTTCTCATCCAAGCAACCAAAAACCAACCTAAACACAACAAACCTGCCCGCCCAAGCAACGCAGTTACCTTGCGCACACGCACGCATCCACTTTCCTCTCTCTACTACAATCACAGTCACTGGTACCGCCGCCCGCACAGCATCTCCCGATCGGCTACCAGTCCAGTCCACAACCCCCGTCTTATTGCATCACGCCCGCAAGCGAACATCCGTACCAAGTAAAACAGTTTGTCCAAATCCGCCTCGCTCGCCGACTGTATACTTCCCCGCGATCCTCCGCGTCCACTTCACATATCACCCACAATGGCCGACGCGACGAACGCGAACGACGAGCTCTTTCCCATCGCCGTGCTTATCGACGAATTGAAGGTATGTTGGCGGTGACCCGGACAGCCAGAACCCCTGACTATCCCTCTTTGCCTATTGATGGGACGTAAACCCTGATTGACTTTTGGGCAGCACGACGAGGTTGTTCTCCGATTAAACGCCATCCACCGTCTCTCGACTATCGCCCTTGCTTTGGGTCCCGAGCGCACTCGCGAGGAGCTGATTCCCTTTCTCGATGGTTAGCCAACCCCTCGACCCAGCTTCAGCCTAGCAACCCCACTCACGCCGGCGTCCGGCCACACAGCCGTTGGGATTATCTGATACGGCCGCTGACACTTTTGAATACAGAGTCGGTCGAAGATGAAGATGAGGTCCTCGTTGCTCTGAGTGAAGAGCTCGGTAACTTTGTCGAGTACGTGGGAGGCCCCGCATGGGGACATGTTCTGCTTTCACCCCTTGAGAACCTCGCTGCGATCGAGGAACCCGTTGTGCGGGACAAGGTACGAATACGCGACCATTTCCTGGTTTCTTGCGATGAAATCCGCACACGTACTAACGAGCTTTCAGGCCGTCGAATCGTTGAACAAGATCTGCACCGAGCTCTCTTCGCAGCAAGTCGAAGAATACTTCATCCCTCTTACGATTCGCCTCTCCAAGGCCGACTGGTTCACGTCCAAGGTCTCCGGATGCGGCCTCTACACAACCCCCTACTCGAAAGTTTCGCCGCCCATTCAAGAACAGTTGCGCCAGCAGTTCGGACAGCTCGTCCACGATGAGACCCCCATGGTGCGCCGTCAGGCCGCCACCAACATGGCTAAGTTCGTGAAGGAGATGCCGACTGCCATCGTTGTCGAGGAAATGATACCCATGTTCCAGCACCTCGCCGGGGACGACCAGGACAGCGTCAGGCTCCTTACTGTCGAGATTTTGATCTCCATTGCGGAGGTTGTGCCCAAAGAGCAACAGTCCAGCCACGGCGTGCTCCTCACATCGCTACGCAGCTTGATAGAGGACAAGAGCTGGAGGGTCCGGTATATGATCGCCGACAGATTTGAGAAGGTTCGTAGTCGCGCTAAGCGCTGGGGCTCCCCTCAAGTTGCTTCTCAGAGGACTAACATCATACCCAGATTGCGAAGGCGGTTGACGAGGAGGTTGTGTCCAGAGACCTTGTTCCTGCGTTCGTAAAACTACTGAAAGATAACGAGGCTGAGGTGCGCACTGCGATCGCTGGTCAGATCCCCGGCTTCTGTGCTCTGGTTGATCGCAACGTTCTCCTGAATGACATCATGGGAAGTGTTGAGGATCTCGTCTCGGATAGCTCCCAACATGTCAGAGCCGCCCTTGGCACACAAATCAGCGGCCTCGCTCCTATTCTGGGCAAGCAAGAGTACGTTCCCGCAGTCGCGCAATCGTCCTGCTCACGCGTATGCTAACCATTGTAACAGGACTATTGATCATCTTCTGCCCATGTTCCTTCAGATGCTGAAGGACGAGTTCCCAGAGGTTCGCCTTCACATCATCAGCAAACTGGAGCTTGTCAACCAGGTTATCGGCATCGACCTCCTTTCTCAGTCTCTCCTTCCTGCGATTGTTCAGCTAGCCGAAGACAAGCAATGGCGTGTACGCTTGGCTATTATCGATTACATCCCACTCCTTGCCAGTCAGTTGGGCGTCAAGTTCTTCGACGAGAAGCTCAGCCAGCTTTGCATGGGCTGGCTGGGAGACACCGTTTTCTCCATCCGTGAGGCCGCTACTCACAACCTAAGGAAGCTGACAGAAGTGTTCGGTGTTGAATGGGCAAGCGAGGCTATCATTCCCAAGGTTATGGCTATGGGTGGCCACCCCAACTACCTTTACCGGATGACCACTTGCTTTGCTATCACGGTAAGAGACTATGTGGTACGCGATCGGGTAAATGCGCATGACTAACCAATGTTTACAGACCCTGGCTACCGTCGTCAGCTTGGATGTGATCGCTAAGTCCATCCTCCCGATGCTGGAGAAGCTTACAGCGGATTCGATCCCTAATATTCGCTTTAACGTCGCAAAGACATATGGCGTCATCATCGGTGTTCTTCGTCGCCTTCCCGATGAGGGCACCATCTACACGCTAGAAAAGGAGGGCAAGGCTGCTACCCCGTCGCCCAAGGGTCAGGAACTCATCCAGCAGCGCATCATGCCGTGCTTGGAGAAGCTTCAGAAGGACGATGATGTGGATGTGCGGTATTTTGCGACGACTGCTGCGGCTCAAGCAACTGGTCCTCTTATGGGAGCTGCTACCGAGGCAGGAAACCCCATTCCTAGCGGTGGGGAGCCCATGAACACATCTCCATAGACAACGGACGTTGAGACGCAAGAACATAAGAAAGCAGAGAGTCCCACCTAATGAAGAAAGTTTTTGTTACCATCAATGAGCAAACAGAGCAGCGTTAAGACTGATAAACAAGTGACCGGTTCTCGTCTCCCTAGGTTCGTCGTAGTTACTCGGGCGTTGCACCATCACTACTATTCATACGTTGCAGATTTGGCGAACATGGTTCTGCGTTATATAGGCATAGTGCTAAAATGAATGACCGTACGTTCAATAAGATATCCAACCAACGGGCGACAAGTCACCGCCAAACAATGTAAGGAAACAAAACCAGTTTAACCTGTGTCGCGCTGTTTTCCTCCCTTTCAACGCTGATGTATTTCGCTTCTTCACTGTGGTCTACTTGTTCCCATCCCCCTCTATTCTCGTCGTGACCCTCACTGTGCTGGCATCTACAAGTTTTCGACGAGCTTACTACTACTCATTCAAAATCGTGGTATTGGATGGGTTGCGTGTGGAAAGGGAGGGTTCTTGGTGATGATGATGTGTATCAAAAAATAAATAAAAAATGATGTGGTGTTGAAGACAAGTTGGTAGCTTACATTTGGGGCGGGGGAATTAACCCCAAGCTCCCCCTGTCCTCTGCTGAAGTTGTTGCCTTCCTTTTAAACCTTGCCGACACTGCAGTTGCTTCTTCCTTCCTTCCCTCCTTCTTTGTTGGATGCTTCCTACTCTCTGGTGACAGGGAACCCAGCAACTCAGAAACAACGTTCCGGGCCAGGCAAGAGAAAGACCGGACAGGACATGACTTCCGGAGTGCTTACCTATAACCGAAGATTACTCAGAGTTGCACTTCATAATTGCATTTAGATATCCATCCTGCACATGGTTTTTGAGCACCCACAACCTCATCTCCTTTGAAGTCATTACAGTGTGCTACTGTCCTGTCTATCCTCTCTCACCCCTTACTTCTCATCCTAACCACCCTCATCCCCCCTCCCACCCTCTAAATATTCCTCTTTTGAAAACACAACGTACTAATAGTCTGCCCCTTGACACCCCCAAAGCTGAAACTAGGGTACTCAATCCTACCCGCCTGCCTCAACCCGAGCTTCTTCTTCTCCGTGCCATCATAAACCTCGGCAAAGTCCGTCTCGAACCAGCCCTTCAGCTCCTCCTCGGTCCAGTTGCAGCTGGTCACCAGGAAAAACCCGCCGGGCGCAGGAGCTGGAGGACGCGCGCGCCGTAGTTCTCGCAGATTCGCCGACCGCGGGAGTCCCGGCTGTCGGAGAGGGAGACGGCGTCGAAGGTGCCTTTGTCGAGGATCAGGTCCCAGCCGGCGTTTTGGTCTCCTCCTTCTTCTCGTTGTTGTTGTTGTTGTTGTTCTGATGATGGGGCGTGGGCGGGCCGGGCTTGGACGGTAGAGAAGTCGCCGTTGAGGACGTCCCAGACTTTGAACTCGATGCCGATATCTTCTTCTAACGCATGTTCCCCCTCCTCTTCTACTTCTTCTCCCTTTTTCGTCTCTGGTGTTTGTTCTTCTTTTTCATCCTCCTCCTCCCCATCCACGCCCTCCCCAAGCACCCTCGTCCTCAACACCCTCCTCGCCAACTCCACACTCTGCGCGCTATAATCCACCCCGCACAACCGTCCCTCCCAGCCATCATCGTGCAGCGCAAAGAGCAGGGAACCGTTGCCGCACCCGAGGTCCAGAACCGCCGCGTCGTCGCGCGTAAAGAGGCCAGAGAATAATTCGTGCTCTTGCTCGTCGAGGAACTGCACGATCTTGTTCTCGGCGTCGGAGTCGTCGAACCAGACGGTGCCTTCGTCCGAGGGGTTGGAGGCGTGGTTGGAGATTTCGCGGGTGTAGAGGGCGTCCCAGCTGGAGAGAGAGGGGAAAGGGAAGGTTAGCAAGCTGGTCAATGGGGTTGGAGGGTGGCTGGGATTGGGGATGATGGGGAGGGAATGGTAGGGAGCGGAGGGAGAAGGAAAATTAATGGGAAAAAACGTACTACTCCTTCGTCCCCAACTTGGAGGGCTCCAAGTGAGCGGGTTTCTCACCACTCGTCGTCGTGGTGACGGGGGTAGTTGTGTCGGCGGACATTTTCGGTGGCTTCGTATTTCGTAGTCGGGGAGGTTACCAATTGATGATATTCCAGATTTAGGTTCTTGGTGTGAGAAAGGTGGGTTCGTTTCGCTCGTATAATCTTCCTCTCTCTCGTGGAATTGAGGTCGCTGGGTGTGAAGCCAAATCTTTCCTACGGCAATGCTTCTCGCGATGCGGCAGAAAGCGCGCGGAAAGTTGCGATTTGGGGGATGGAGGGGTAACCCCGCCTAAACGGGAAGGCGGTGAAAGGTGTATAAGTTATGCAGCCAATTCGACAATCCTATCGCCAGTACACCTTCCATTGTCAATCTCCCAACAGAAGTGAACACGATACCACTTCGATGAAGATCTTGAGTTACACAAGTGTAGAAGGGTACACGAGAAATGCCTTTCAAGGTTTGAAGAGAAACAACTATGTGGTGGCTTATTGCCCTTGTTCAAGGGCAACCCTCCGTTCAACCCCACAATGTTAAAGTAACCCCAAACATATGAAGAGAAGTTTAGGATCATAACCAGGTCACATAAATCCATCCTCGGTTTTCATTTGCATCTTGTATTCCATTTGCCCACAATGTGCTTTGGCTGCCCTTTCAAACCAGTCCGTTCAGCTGTCTCCTCAAGTTCATCCCTATTCCGTTTTCCCAGCTTGCGAAACATGCAGAGAACTGGTCCTTCACAACTTGTCTCTCTCTCTCCGTGCACAGATTCCCTCTGTGCGCCCCTACTCATGGCCAATTACGGGCAGATAGAATGTTAAAAGGAGTAAGGAATATCCGTCAAGGCCTCAGATGGTCCAGACTGGCGCCTTAACCAGAACATGGCGTCCCCTGACTTCCACGCCAAAGGACCCGGCAAAGCGGACCCTTCCAGCATCCTTGGATTGTGAGGCTGCTCCAGATGGTGCTGTCGGCAGCGTCGAACTGTCAGCAATACTTCCCTTCCGGCTACCGGGTGGACCGCCGGCGGCGCTGTTCCCGCCTATGGTGTGATGGATGGTGTTCAACATACCGGATCTGGTGGCCTTGTCGCCGCGCGCGCGCTCCTTGGAAGACTCCTTGGCTCCGTCGCCTGCGGTCCCTTCCTCGCTGGCATCGGACGGACGACCTTCCAGGGGCGGTAGGGCCGTCTTTTCGACTTCCATGAGCTTGGTCTGGATGGGCTGCTCTGGCAAAGGGTAGACGATGGCAACGTCGCGGCTCTCGAGGGGCAGGTTGCTGGCGATCCCTACTGCCAGCTCCACGATCATGCCTACACTTCCATCAACTCCAACGGGCGCGGGTTCCGTAAGGTGCTGGAAAAGGTGAGCGGTCAAATTGCTGGTGGCGAGCTGGGTGAAGTTAGTTTGTGATCGTCAGCCTCGGCACTCCTGAGAACGTCCTGAAGTCCTTCCAGTGTGGTCATTCTCCAGCTGACAACTTTGCTGGTCAGCGCATCGTGTTCTTCTTGGCTGTTCAACGTGTAGCTGAAGTGTCTGATGTTCTGCTCAATCGTCTTGAGCTGCTTGCTTAGCTCAGGCTCCAAGCCAGGGTGGAAGCAGCGGTTGAAGATCTCGTCTACGACCCAACGAGTAATGACTGCGCGGCCGACCGCGGTCATCTCTTGTCTGCCCGTCTTTAGCGCATCGGCGGTCACGTATGGGTCCAACCACTTGGGTAATGTCTTCCATTCCTTCCGGATATTGAAGGCAAGGTTTGTAATGGCACCCTGTAAACGATTGAACCGCGTCGTATACTCGCTGTCGTCCAATGACGTCCGGCTTTGCGACATGCGCTGGTTGGCGATGGCATTCTGGAGCTGTTCAACTTGGTTGCCCAACTGTTCGATTTCTTTCTTGCCGTCAAAGTACAGTCTCTTGACGTTCTTGTACTTGGTCACTACGCGCCGGAGAAGTCGCCTGATTAGTTTGCAATTCGCAGAGCGGAAAGGGGGATCGGGGGTTTCACGTACGCAGTTCCTTCAGGGTCTTCTCTTGGTCTTCGGCAGCACGTTCAGAAGAGGCCGGCTGGGGGCTATTACGCCCTTGGTCACCCGATCCATCGAAACCCTGTCTGTCTCCCTGGCGATAGCTGCTTGAACTTTGCCCGCCTGCGTTGGAGGGCTGGGACAAGTTGTTCATGCTGGGCTGTTGACTTTGGCGATAGCTTGGCGGGGGGCCAGGGGGTGGTTGTATCTCGCGGATCCCGGTTGCTTTATCGGTGGTATCCTGGGACCGGCGTCCGCCGGGTTGTGGGGCCATGACTTGCTGTTGCGGGGTCTTGCCTTGGGGTTGGGCTGAAGGCTGCGCGGGGAGTGGATTCTGACGCAGGGGAATATCCTGGGATTGGGGCGTGTAACTGCTCTCGTCCGAAGCTTGGAGGGATGATTGCACGTTTGTAGCAGAGCGCTGGTCCGAATCGATGGTGGGCGATTCGCGCGAAAGCTGCGAGACCGTCTCGGGATTCTTGTGCTGGGGATTGCCAAGGTGGCCCGAGACTGCAGAATGAGTGCTCGCCTGGTATTGTACTTGCGACGAGGTTTGGTATGGGTCCTGGGGGGTCACCTGCTGTGAGTGCTGGTGCTGTTGTTGGAGTGCGGCCTCAAACTCGGCCTGGTTGAATTGTTGCTGTTGGGGCTCCGGAGGAATCTGAACCTGCAGTTGAGGATGGGATTGTTGCTGCTGATGGTACCCGCTTTCCCCCGCAGAATAGGGCGAAACGTCTTTCTCAGGAGGGACCGGTCGAATGGTGGGGTTGTATTGGCCGTCTTGCGGGTTCTGGAGATGCAAGTCTCTTTCTTGTCCCGCAACAAGGTACGAGTCTCGATACTCTGCGGTTTGGAGAGGCGAAGGCTGTGACGGAGGATATTGGGTTTGCCAGTCGGCGGGAGGATGGTCAAGCGAAACCTGGGATACACCCGTGCGGATGGCGGGAGGAGGAGGCGGTTGGCTTATACGCCTTGACGATCTGCGAACAACACCTGAAGGGTCGCCCCACGAACTTTGTCCAGAGTGAGAATCGTGGTTGCGATGCGAGGACGAGCCGCTCAATATGTTTTTGATCAGTTTGCGCGTCGACTGCTTTGTCTTGGGCGGGGGTGGGGGCGGCTGCTGGTTTGCAACAAAAGCTTGGCCTTGTCCTTGGCCGGAGAATGGAGAATTATGAATGGAGGCCGTGTCTGGTAGGTTATCAACCGAGTTTGATTGGAGACTTTGCTGTTGTTGCTGTTGTATTTGCAGATGGTGATGTTGTTGAGGCGTGGCCGGGGAGTGTTGTTGTTGTTGTTGTGTTGTGTCAGAGAGGTTGCAGTCCATGCTATCTGAGGGTCTTGTCAGTGGAAGTTTGTTTCTTATCGTTCTTGTTCAGAGAGGTTGCAGTCCATGCTATCTGAGGGTCTTGTCAGTGGAAGTTTGTTTCTTATCGTTCTTGTCCGTTTTGGGGCAATAGGTGTTGGTATGCTGCTGTTGTTGGGCCTGGGTCGGTGAGATTTGGGGGAAGCGATGAGAGTGTGACCGGGCCACTTGATCTTGGAAGTCGTGGTCTCTCTGGCGAGACTCAACGACACCAGTCACCGTGTTAGAATGTTGCAATTGCGGAACAGGATCAGCGAAATGAGAGGGACCGCTGGCGGGATTGTTGTAAATATTCACCAAGTGCGACGGCTGCGGCTGTGAGGCCTGTGCGAGGTTTAGTCCTGCGGCGCCGTTATCGATCTGAAAAGAATCGTTGGACCCAGAGCTGAAGGCCGAGTTTGGCAAGGCTGAAGAGGGGTTTGCAGCGCCCGCACCCGGGCTCGCGCCTGATGGAACGGAGGACGTTGCTTGCGAAGGTTCTTCAGCAACCGATGACCCCAGCAAGTTGTGTTGAGACCGGTTGTGCTTAGAAGACCGATTCCAGTACGGCATTATCGGGAGAGAGTCGAGATGAAAGGTTAAAGAGAAAGGACGGTATTGCGCTGGCGGCGATCACAGAGCCGGAGGACAGAAAACGTAGGTTGCCGAATGCACGGGTGGTGGTGGTGGTAGAGGCAGTGTTCTTCCTCCTCCTCCTCTCTGATGTTGCGCTGCCGAGTTCCAGTAATAGATCAGATAGCAACAGATAACCCCAGATAGCGCTGACAGGACTCGGACCTAAGCGGACAAGTTGGGATGGATGGAACCGGGCTTGGACCGAAAGAAGCACCGTTGACGACGACAAACTGAACTGGCTCCCGTCACTCCCAGAGACTGGAGCGCTTTCACTCGTACCGGGTCGTCAGATAGCCTGAACTGTTTGGGAGATCGGAGTGGGCGTGAGGGACAGTGCTGGCCTGACAAGGACGCAGATGCACTGCGTACGTCGAGGTAGGGAGAAGCCAACGGCACAAAAGGCGCATGCAAAACCACAAGCGGCGAATCCACGCACAGGCGACAGCGGGCAGCAGAAGCAGCACGACAACCCAACCGCAGCGAACGCTCTTGGAACAAAGCGTGAATGAGGGGTGGTTGTCCTCCGCAACGTAACGTCAAAAGGCCGCCGTGTCCGGGTCTTCAACGCCCTACGAGGACGGAGCAGGGTGTAGATAATATGAAGAGGTAGGTAGTAACAGTGGTGAGCAGAAGGTGAAGAGACGGACTGACAGAGACCAGGTACCTTGACATTCAGATGATGGCTTGCAACACGATCACAATGGGACACTGTGACGGAGTCTACACACAGCTGTTTGGAGCTCACCCACAGCACAGAGTTTGATGTCAGAGCTAGGAGCCAGCTGTGGAGCAAGGGACACAAAAAAGAATGAGACGAAAAGGGTCCAAGGTTCACATTCGTTTGGTTCCAGGCACCCAAGATTCCAAGGATCCGCAACAGGGCAGGCCGTTGGTGCTGAATTGCCTCCACCCTCGCAAGGTGCAGCTGGCGGACCCAATGGATTGGACGAAAGCAGGGGACGGGGGTTCATCAAGATGCCACTTTCTGCCACTCTGGGCGATCCTGGGGTCTCTTTCGTGGGGCTGTGTTCCGCGTGTGCTCCGCGTGCTGAATCCCTCTCTTCTCTCACAAAGTGCGAGTGCTCTATCCACTGGTTGGACGGGATGTGGGTAGCATCACATTCAGGGGCCAAGGTGCCATGACAGTTCAGCTTTGCCGATTAAAGGCGAGGGGAGCAGAACAATGACGGGAAACCGACCGATGTGGATGCCGTGAGCGTGAGCAGAACGGAGATTACGATAGACTTTTTGTTGGAAACAAAGGCAGGAGACGGGAACGGACCTTGAGACTAACTCTATTCGAGGTTCCAAAGAGGCAGAGGACTGTAGATCCGTAGATAGGCTTTTCAAGCCTCATCCTTGGCTTTGTCTACACTAACTCCCCGCTTTGAGCTTGATGCTTTTGACATCCATGCCCAACTAGCTCCAAGACTCAGTTGATTCTTAGTTTTCACAATGTTATTTGAAAGCCAAGTCCGAGTGATCTCGTGACGGACTTGATTCATTGTCACCCGGCAACCAAGCCGGCTGTGGTGAAGAAGAACAGAGTTGCAAAATATTGCCATTGGACGGGTACAATGCATGTGCGCATTGGAACAGATATCACAACAGAGCAACCTCAGCGTAGGAACGGCGGATGAATGCGAGCATGTCTCAGGAAGTTCGTGATCTCCTGGCCCCTCAATAAAGAAACTTCACCATGCAAAGGATATCCGAAAGAATGTATTGAGGGTGGTAGCATCAGGGTGGTCTACAACCCAACAAAGGTGTGCCATTTCCTTGAAAGTTGCAAATCTTGAATCCGAAGAAGCTGGGTGTTGATATGTTGGCGCTTGGCAACTGGTGGGCGATTACAGAAATGGTGGTGTGTAACCAAAGTACACTTTGACAGTTTGAATGCACACTTCAGGGGTCCTCGCCCGGTCAAGCCCAACGGGTTCCGATAGGTGTCAATTGGACGTAATGTCCCGACGATTGACTCCCGGTCCTTCGGGGCCGATGTTATTTATAGCAACATTGTAGCGGGTAGAGGTAGCTTGGCGCCCGTTCGGTGACACCCGGTCGTTGCACTGCCCTCCCGGTGGCCAAGTCGTCCAAAGCTGAGAAGAGCTGGAAAGCTCTTGCAGCTCACAAACTCTCGAGCGAACCCTGTTCATCTCACATGCATTTTGATTGAACCGTTAACCTTGGTTGAGACACATGGCAATCATATGCAACTAGGACGAGCTGAGGACCGGGCGCGCCTGACCACATACAAATCAAATGTTTGCTGGTATCAGCCTCAACGCTGCCTTCCTCACACGTGAACCTACTTCCTAAGTGGTACATACGTAGGTGGGTTGAGCATCTACCGGTTGCTTCTGTAAGCTTTCCTCATCGTAAGGGTCCTGGAGATGGGAGTTCCGTAATCAAGGAACAGCCGTGGCGTTATGCGATTTTTAGAAATCCATGTCAGTTGGAGTAACAATAGAATGAAGGTCGTTCAAGTTTGTTGCGGCATCTCCTTGCAGCCCCTTCGGATGTTTTCCAAACCTGTTCTTCGAACACATACTCGGTGTCGTCGGACGTTCTTCGACAAACAACTTCAGCCCCGGCACAATACAAATAGGCGGAGGAATACGGTCGTAGTGAATGACTAGATATGCCACTTAGACAGTGTGCGCGTGCTCCGACCGGGGTGCCCATGTTCGCCGAAGGGCTTGAAAATCAAGCCGATAACCAACCCTTCCTTAGCAAGTCGGCAGGATACGTGTACCGGCTCATAATATTGCATTGTGGCCATCTGTTAAAGCAAATCAGTATTGGCTTGCTTCGTGCCCGCTGTGATGATAAATGTTCTATTCCGTCATTATTCAGCTCTTTATGTACAGGTCCCTGTTTTGACCTTCATCACGGACTGGTACCGTGGTACTTTTCAGACTCAACGTAATTCAGACTGCAGCGGGCGCGCTCTCCTCTATTGAAGGGGGTAGGAAGTCTGGGGAAGGGACTCGAGGTGCTTGCGGTTGTGTTCATTTGCCTGGAAATCATATCGTTAGCTGTCAGCCCGGACAAAGGCATTCGAAGCCTGCTGTGAACTTACGAAAGGAAGTCCACAGTAGTTGCAGGTGGCAATCTCAGGCTTGTCGGTGTTGATGTAAATTTTGGGATGACCGGCAGGGCCACCACCACCATCGCATGCGACAATACGCTCGTGCACCCACTTGACAGGCTGCTTGTGGATGAGCTCCATGGCGGACCATGGTTGAGGCTGTAGTTTGCAACTTGGGTTAGCAAGAGTTTCAAAATGTTGGTATATCTGGTCTTGTCCCGAATGGTGGTTTGCGAATTGCGATTGCGCAGAGATCCGTTCCTGGACAACAGGCCGTAGCTCACCTGGAGATCAAAGTTGGTCTGCTCGAAACGGGGGCCGGTCATGGCCTCGGAGCGGGGCTTCTGACTCCGAGACCAGATCTCAGCGCGATTCGGAGCCTGCTTCACAACGGCGGCCGGTTCTGTCGGCGTGATTTCAACAGTCTTCTCTCCATCCTTCTTCTCGGGCGCTGGAATGGTCGATGACGAATACAATTGACGGCCGGAAGTGGTGAACGAGCGAGCGCATTGGCGCGACAGCTGCTGGGCAGCCCGCAATCGCAACGGGTACATGGTGGATGTTCAGTGGAGGAGGTTGTGATGGAGACGGGAGCGTCTCGAGTCAGTCACTGCGGGCACCGGCCGAGAGCTGGACCAGGTCAGGTAGGTATGATGAAGTTGAGCTTCGTCAGTGGGCCAATGCTGTTGTCGGCAGATTATCGGTATGGGGGTGTGCGGCTCTGAGCCTGGGTGGTCCGTGCACCTACTTTGAAGCTGGCAATTAAGCTAGAAGAAGTGGGGCTAAATGGCCGTCAAGGGAGGTCCCACCTTGACAACCCCGGACTTTGGGAATTTTTGTCAGTTTGTCAAATGTCAACCATTCTTCTGTGACGCGATATCATCACCGACGACACGCGATATCATTACCGGCGGGTCAAAACCTCGTCGCATTACTGGGCGCCAGAAAGTTGTTTCCCAACCTATTAATCCCGACGACAAGATCATTTGCGATAATATTATCCAATACTTAACGCTACCGCGCGCCCATTTCACATACCTACGATGGCTCCCGCGAACCCACCGACCATGGCGGCACCACAGGTGCAAAAGACGATGTCTTCTCGCTTGATGACGATGAAGTTCATGCAGAGAGCAGCCGCTACTGCTGCTACTGCTGCTACTGCGTCGCCAACGGACAAGTCCAGCATCTCGAAGACAGAAGACGAGGGTCCCTCGAAGCGCCGAAAGCATTCCCATGCATCGAAAACGAGCACACCCAACGCGGAGGCCGAGCAGGCATTGTACGATCAAAAGGCTATCCAGGCTGCGCTGGAGGAGGAAGAGAAGAAGCGACAAGCTGCCATTGAAAAGCGTGCTGCAGAGCTTGGTGACTCCCACTGGGTGTTGCCCGGAGCTGCCGTCGCCCCCAAGGCCGGGGCTCGCCCGGTGCTGAATGTTGTTCAAGTTGGATTTGCGCAGATTGACTACTCAGGCAACGCGAATGACGACGATGACGCTCCCGCCGTTGTTTCAACCACCCCCCGCTTCCGCCAGTTCAACATAAAGAAGAAAAAGGCATGTTTGTTTATTGGGCAGCAAGTTTGTTTTCACACGCTAACGTGGCTATGTAGGATGAGAAGAAAGAAGACGATGACGAGAGTGATAAGGACAGTGATAGCTCAGGCTCAGACTCCGACGATGACGACGACGACGACGATCGCTCCGAGGATGAAGCATCCTCAGACTCCAACAAGCAGGCGGATCGAGGCCAACAACAGGGTGCTGACCCCAGGGGACAGAAACGGGCAAGGCCAGGGTCCACGTTCTCTGACAGAAAGAGCGAGGAGCGCAGGAAGGCAGCGCAGTTTGCGCAAGGCCGAAGGAAGAGGGAAGTTAATCCCAACCGCCCTGCCACGCTATCTTCGGGTGGCCAGCCCCAAGGCTCTCAGCGGCAGGGTTTCACCGGGGCCTGCCACACTTGTGGACAAAACGGTCACAGAGCTGCCGACTGCCCCCGCAAGTCGCGGAAGTAGCGTGATGGTTCAGTATCCATTACAGTTACGACCGGGTGTTCGGCTGTATAAATCTGGCCGCGATGCTCATAAGCTCCATGATCATGGGTTATTACTCTCCGGGCCGGAGAGAGGCCAAATGATCGGATGGGTTCCTTGGGGCCTGTGGAGGACCGGGAAATGTGTGCCCATGGCGTCTACGCCGACTTAGAGTTAAGGTCTTTGACTCAGGCCATAAATGGGGTTTCTTGAGGGGCACTTTTTTTGACACGTTGACTATCCTGGCGGCGGAAGGATTCATTTTACAGGGGGTAGCACCGCGCAATATGCGGTCTTTGGTCCCGCCAGGCATTGTATGGCCTTCGGTGTGATGGATCGCATCATGAATCCTCAGGGGTATTTCCCTTCTGTTGATGGGCGGTTAAAGGGGTGGAAGTGTGATGAGTTTTGCATGCCGCTAGGCAGCTTAAAGAGATTTGAAACGTTCTCTTGAAGACCTCCGAAGCGCCGGGGGGAAGTCTACCCACCCGCTCACGCCTCCTAGACCGGTCACCGGGCAAGCTCATATCCGGACAAGGCATTTGTTAATGATTCATGGTTTCGATAGGCCAAGAATCTCAATTTCCCTGCCATGGCTGAGGAAGCAAAAGGTTGCATGCGGCCTAGAATGCTTTTGCCGCCGAGCCGCGAGGAACAGGACGGAATATCAATCACAGGCAACCGCAATATTGGCTTTTGACGGGTGACATCCGTCCCGTGTTTCTTTTTCATCGGTACCATCCCGAACATATTGAAGAATCTTGGCGGCTGAAGGTCTTGGGAGCAGCAACGCACCACAATACACTTTATACGGTCCCTCTTTCACTATCTGGGGGACTGTTACAACCCCCCACGTATCTCACTTTCATTTTACACATCCGTGCTTCATCCCGTCCATAGCAAAACCAGAGGATTCCTATCCTGATTTTATCCCATATACATACCAAGTACTACACGTGAGCGGAAACACAGCCCATAGGGTAGTTACAATCGTCACTTCTTGTCACATAGTTTTTGTTACCTGAGTGGCCATGCCTAGTAGACTGGTGACATACCATGACACATATGATATAATAACCAGCCTAGGTAAGCTGGTAGCATAACACCAAGCCCGACGTTTTTCTGCTAAGTGTGCCGTTGCGTGCTTGTGCTAAAGTTCGCGTGTGTAGTGTGTGACAAATGCTTGTTGTGAATGTTTGTCGTTTGGCAACGCACACAACACCCGGACAACAACGGACTACCTTGCGAGCCTTTTCTCCCTTCCACTGACTATCTACACAGCCTGCTCTGTTTGATGATACCGTATGTAGTACGACAGGTTAACAGCAGAATGTTGTTCTATGACAGAGCAATCACTTATCTTCACAGGGAGAGTTAGTACAATACAGTGTCTATAATGAATCAAACCAACTGGATAACGTGAACAGCCAATTACGGCGAGAGGTTTAGGGTGAGAAAGGAAACGACATGTAAAAACGACAACAATGCCATTGATGATGGTTCACCTGCAAGACATTCCCATAGTGGAACACTTGCCGTTCGTGGGTCGTCCGTCAGTCGGGGTTGACTTGTTGAAAAAGTGCAGGATCTAATCACACTCTATATATTTATTCTATTTTAAGATGTGCGGCTCCTGTTACATATCACGAAACGTTGGGGCAATGAAATGGCGCGAGAGGGAGAGGAACACTTCATTGTGCGTCCTGTGGTGATGGCTTTTGATGGGTCAACATGGTGATGAGCCGCATGTATTCCGCTTCAGTTTATGAAGTGTCAGTCAGGCAAGTGGTCGAACTACTGGACACACACCATACTTACCCTTTCGTCCCATGGATTCGCATCTTCAATTTGAACCTTCGAATCGCTCTTGCCATCTGATGTGTTTCCTAAAATCAGTTGGTGCAGCTCTTGACGTTGAGTTGACGGCAAGGTGGGCTGGCGGGGTTTGTGGGTCCCCAGATACCTTTATCGACGGATGGATAAAAAAAAAGCCATGCTAACCAGAAGGGGTATCGTCGTTTCCAGGCCTCAAACCCTCACTTCTCTCCCAAAACGGCAACGAGACCAGGATGGTTGTCAGAGGATGTCAGGCTGCCGGGCTGTTCAGCTTGCTTTACGCATCTGGGCATCCTGTTATATATGATCTTCTACCTGAACTGTTGACGATGAGGCTACCCGTAAGCTGAACTTGCTGCCTTGATCTGTGCATACATCATAGCTCTATACTCGTCAAGGCTCAAATCGCCTTTTTGATCCTAACCTGCGGTAGGGTCAGGCGGGTTAAGATTAAATGCGGGAGCAACTTCTAAAAATTAAGTACGGACTAGAGTATTTAGATTTTGACTGTTCATACTAGTAAGCTAATGTAGTTTATGATTTTGAAATTTCTATTATTAGTTATATAAGTAACTCTAACTCTTATTAATATCTGTTACTATATTTATTTATTGTATATTCATCTTATATTATTACCTCTCAATATTTATACTTTACTATATATTTAGTATCTTATCTTCTTTTACATAACTACAAGCCTTAATACCTCTTTAGAATTGTACGTAAGTATATGATTATATACAAAAATTAGTTTACTTCAGCTTGCTAATAAAATTAGTAGCTGTGTAGGTACTCCACGTTCTTTAAAAGTTGCCCCCGCATTCGATCTTAACCCGCCTGACCCTGCCACAGGTCAAGGTCAGAAAGGCAATTTGAGCCCTGACGAGTAGTCCGCCAAAGGAGCTGATGCTTACCAATCCTGCTCTAGCCACCTCGTAACAGGCAACGTAAGACCAACTGGTCTAAAGATTTGACCGGCAAGTGATACCTAGATAAGCCTTGTCCCCAGGCGACCAAATGAGAGCAAAAACGTAATGACAAGTGTTGCCTTGAACCGAAGCACTGAACAGACAAGGCGTCGATGAAATGCTGAGCTTCTTACTGCATGGGGAAATATTGAGGCTCTAGCGTGAAGCCTCAGTGCTTACGTAGAGGTACCCCGTACCTCGGAAGTTTTGAAGCTGCCCCTCATCCAACGTCCCTCAGAGAATCATTAAACTTTTATGTCGTCTCACTTTTCACTCCAGGCAAAATTTCTTCTTGGGCTGTGAGCTGTGATATATACGAATGCCAGGCGAAGTCATCGTGGGTTTTCGGTTCTTGTCCGTGAATCATTTCCCAAGGGGTTGGCACTTGTCGTCTGTCCCTTCTCCACCAGGCGCTCTTTCCATCGTCATCACCCCAACCTCTTTACCCGTATGGCCATCGAGGTTCTCGCAACTTACGGGTAAAAATCCCCAAGAAAAAAACGGTTGCTCGTTTACAACGTTCACCTTTTCTGATACGACCCGGGATTCAGTCAACCAGTGAGTCGACCCGCAGCGAGAAACTCTTGACAGCACAATCAGGTATAAAGAGCCGACAATCACTTCCACTTGGATGTCTACTTCTCGTCTCCTCACTTCTTCAGCTCTACTGAACCCGCGAAACCGCGTTGCGCAACCACAACACGGACCTGGTAACAGCCCGTATCCCCTCAAACAGTGCCACCGCAACCTCACACGTCTCCCCGCGTCGGCGCACAGCCGAAACAGACTTCAAGCGCGAGAGTACCGTCCTACCGGAAGTGTCACTGCCAGCCCGGATTTGCTGGCACCCAACTTGCCGGTAACCTTGCCTAGCTCTGGTGCCGTGTCTCCACCCGTCGCACAGACCCTGACACCATTCTGGACCCGTCCCCGGAACAGCAGCACTTGCTCCAGGACCCTAGAGCTAAAGACCCCTGGGACAGCCTCCCCCACGGCACTTAGCCTACCGCCACCAACGCCAACGCCGCCCCTCTCTTCTACGCCGCCGCCCTACTCTCGCCTCCCTGTCGTCAGCCGCTTCAACCTGCCAGTACTTTCTGGGCCCGCTGTATTTCAGACCCAGCTTGAATATCTGTCTTCTCCTCCACTTCACAACACCCAACGTCTTTCCGGATCATCAACTCTTCACCTCCTGGACCGGCGTCATTACTCAGTCATGTCCACTTCACCTCAAGACACCCCCATCAAGGGCTCACCCGCTGTTGAGCGGGTCACCGATCAGCTGGAGAAGCCTTCTCTTGATGATCGTAGCTACCGGGTCATCCGTCTCTCCAATAAGCTTGAGGCTCTCTTGGTGCATGATCCGACGACGGACAAGGCCAGTGCTGCCTTGGATGTAAATGTTGGAAGCTTCAGTGATGAAGATGACATGCCTGGCATGGCCCATGCTGTCGAGCATGTGAGTTTCCACGTCTGGTACATACATAGATGTATTGTTTTACTGACCTTGATGGCTTCTGGCTATAGCTCCTTTTCATGGGTACCAAGAAGTATCCGGTCGAGAATGACTACAGCCAGTATTTGTCGACAAATTCTGGTAGCTCTAACGCCTTCACTGCAGCAACTCATACCAACTATTATTTCGAGGTGTCCGCCAAACCCAGCAATGATGATGAGGAGCTCTCGGCCACCAACCCCTCGCCCCTTTACGGTGCTCTGGATCGCTTTGCTCAGTTCTTCGTTGCGCCGCTCTTTTTAGCCAGCACCCTTGACCGGGAACTTCAGGCTGTGGACTCTGAAAACAAGAAGAACCTGCAGAACGATACGTGGCGGCTTCACCAGTTGGACAAGTCCAACTCTAACCCCAAGCATCCGTACTGCCATTTCTCAACCGGAAACCTGGAAACGCTCAAGGCGCTTCCTGAATCCAAGGGCGTCAATGTTCGTGACAAGTTCATCGAGTTTTACCAGAAGCATTACTCGGCCAACCGCATGAAACTTTGCGTGCTCGGAAGAGAATCACTGGACGTTCTTGAAGGCTGGGTTGCCGAGTTGTTCTCAGACGTAGAGAACAAAGACCTACCACCTAATGAGTGGAAGGATGAAGCTCCTCTTACGCCGGAGCAACTCGGAGTAGTGACCTTTGCCAAACCCGTAATGGATTCACGAGAACTCAACATCACCTTCCCCTTCCTAGACGAGCATCTCTTGTTCGAGGAGCTTCCAAGTCGCTACCTTAGCCACTTGATTGGCCATGAGGGCCCGGGCAGCATCATGGCTTATATCAAGTCGAAGGGCTGGGCTAATGGCCTTAGCGCTGGTGCATGGGCCGTGTGCCCTGGCTCCCCTGGCATGTTTGACATTCAGATCAAGTTGACTCAGGAGGTATGTCCTCCCAAGATCCCTGAATCTGATCCAAATCGCTGACCAAAAGATACAGGGGCTCAAGAACTACCAGGAGGTTGCCAAGGTGGTGTTCCAATACATCTCCTTGCTCAGACAAGCAGGACCCCAGGAATGGATCCACGACGAGCAAAAGATCATGGGAGACATTGACTTCAAGTTCAAGCAGAAGACTCAGGCTTCTAGTTTCGCGAGCAAGACAGCCGGAGTCATGCAACGGCCACTGCCCAGGGAATGGCTCTTGAGCGGAACTAACAAGCTGCGCAAGTATGATGCCAATCTCATCCGCAAGGGCCTAGATTGCTTGCGACCTGACAATTTCCGTATGTCTATCGTTTCGAGGGAGGTGCCTGGGACATGGGAGCATAAGGAGAAGTGGTACGGTACCGAGTATTCCCTATCCAAGATTCCCAGCGAACTTATGGAGGAGATCAAGGAGGCTGCTGCCGTTTCTGATCAGGAACGGATTCCGGAGCTTCATCTCCCGCATAAGAACCAGTTCATCCCTACAAAGCTGGAGGTTGAACGAAAGGACGTTAAGGAGCCGGCTCTTGCTCCACGGATTGTACGCAACGACGACCTTGTCCGCACTTGGTATAAGAAGGACGACACATTTTGGGTGCCTAAGGCGAACCTGATTGTCAGCTTGAAGAGCCCTTTGATTCATGCGTCTGCCGAAAACGTTGTCAAGGCCAGGCTCTTTACCGATCACGTCAAGGATGCCTTAGAAGAGTTTTCGTACGATGCCGACCTTGCTGGCTTGTCTTACCTAGTATCTCTCGACAGTCGTGGCTTGTTTGTTGAGGTATCTGGGTACAATGACAAGTTACCCCTCCTCCTGGAACGGGTTCTCATCACGATGCGGGATCTTGAGGTCCGAGACGTCAGATTTAATATCATCAAGGAACGTCTGACCAGAGCTTACCGTAACTGGGAGCTTCAGGTTCCATGGTATCAGGTTGGCGGCTTCACGGAATGGCTTACCGCGGAGCATGACCACACGGTCGAGGAGCTTGCAGCTGAGCTACCACACATCACCTCGGATCAGGTCCGGCAGTTCCGGAAGGAACTTCTCGCTCAGCTGCACATGGAGGTTTACATTCATGGAAACCTCTACAAGGAGGATGCTCTGAAGCTGACGGATATGGTCGAAACTACCCTCAAGCCGAGGGTGTTGCCGCGTTCCCAGTGGCCGATCCTGCGTTCGTTGGTGTTCCCGCCTGGGTCCAACTACGTCTGGAAGAAGACGCTCAAGGACCCTGCCAACGTGAACAACTGCATTGAATACTTCCTCTATGTCGGCGACAAGAACGACTCTCTTGTCCGTGCCAAGACATTGCTCTTGGCCCAGATACTCCAAGAGCCTTGCTTCGATCAACTCAGGACCAAGGAGCAACTCGGATACGTGGTATTCTCGGGAGTGCGTGCCACTTCCACCAGCTACGGATTCCGATTCCTTATCCAGAGCGAGAAGACAGCGCCTTACTTGGAGACTAGGATTGAGCTGTTCTTGGAGAAGATGGCTAAGTGGATCGAAGAGATGGACCCCAGGCAATTCGAGGCTCACAAGCGCAGCTTGATCGCGAAGCGTCTTGAGAAGCCCAAGTTCTTGGACCAGGAGACCAACAAGCAATGGAGCCAGATCCATAGCGAGTATTACGATTTCGAGATCGGTAAGTCCGCAACATCTGAGGTTGGCCCCACTACCTCGAGTCTGTACTGACCTTTTTTTCTCTAGCCCATCGTGATGCCGCCCACGTCAAGCCTCTTACCAACGAAGAGATGGTTGAGTTCTTCAAGTATTACATTCACCCTTCGTCGCCTACCAGGGCCAAGCTCGCCATCTACTTGGAAGCTCAGGCAAAGAGCGACGTGACCACTGCCCAGATCACCGAACTCGTCAAGACTCTGGAACTTGATGCCACTACCGCAGCCAAGACTGCCACTGATCTCCAAGCGAGACTGAGCGCGGCAGACCATGATGAGGACAAGGAGATTGCTGGTCTCAAGGAGTATCTCAGCCATCTCAGTGTTTCCGAGACCAAGATTGACGTTGCCACCGAGACATGGAAGAAGCTCCATGCCGAGAAGGTCAGCGGCGTTGTCAAGGATGCGGCGCCCCCGTCGTCAAACGGCACGAAGCCGATCCTCATTGAGGATGTGCGTAGCTACAAGGCTGGACTGCCTGTCAGCGCTGCTGCCCGGCCGGTGAAGGATCTAAGCGAGTATGAAGAGTTGGACTCCAAGCTTTAAGTAGAAGCATCAAGTAGTGTATTAGCGGATTGCACATCAATCCTTGCTCGGAATCCCCGGAAAGCAAAGCTATGATGGAAGACCATTGTTTGTTGCTAGACGCATGTGCCAGAGTATGCGTTTGTCTGACCTGTTTAGACAGCATTGGCAGGTTACATGTATGGGATGGAGCTCTCCCCTGGAGGACAAAGCGAAAAGGCATTCACTTGCAAGAAAAATACCCTTTCCATTAAATGCAGCTGAATCATACAGGCCCATAACAGGTAGACTCAATCCAGTTGTTGCTATGGTGATTTGGCGTGTAGGCGTTTGTGGCGATGAATCGCCACGGTGTGTTCAAACAGAGGATATGCTCAAAGTTCGAGGGACCAACGTGCAGGTAGGTACAAAGAAACGGCCAGTCCTGCAGGCGTTTCGAAACAAAGCCCACGACTGAGTCTCCCCTGGATAAAACAACGGTGAGATGCGGTATGGACAAGAATAATGGATCATGCTCCCTCTTCAAGGCTCTCTTTTGTGGAAATTTCAAGAGCATCCGGCCCGCAGGGACTGGTGGGCATGCTCGTTGTGATGTACTTCACACTTTTAAAACCTTTGAAGGCTCTCATCGTAGTTTCAATCCTCTTTCTCCCCGTCATCTGGCTACGTAATAAAGGTTGGGAGGAACAATATCTCTAGATATACAAGGGGATGAAATTCCTATCTTGCTAAGATGGTTCACGGCTGACTTGATCTAGCTCCTGATTTGTAGCGTGTCTCACGGCAGATTGAGTGATTCACTGACAACGGCGCTGGTGACGTTCGTGCTTGTTTCAATTTGTTCTCCTCCTTTCAAACGTAACCCACGGCTCTCAACATTTTGAGCTTTCGTTATTGAAGGAGCAAACCAGTACGTACGCGGCGAGAAACCCTAGAACACAGGAATCACGACGGGACTTCCCGTGAAGGACACGGAAGTTCCAGGTTGGAGGTCCTGTTAGAAATTAACGCTACTTCCCGCCCCCGGACTGCCTACCACTAGCAGCGTACCAGAAACGCGGGGGTGTGCTCTTCCCCTTGCCCAGGGCGCTTCATCAGCCCTAGAACCCGCATTTCACAGGGCTTGGGAGGCGGACAGTGCTCTCAACCACATCCCGATTTTACATACAGGTATTTTACAGTCAGGACAAGCAGGGCTGTAACGCGACCGCGATTTCTGCTCGCTTGTGACTTTGTGGGTTGTGGCCGACTGCGCTTGCGCTTGCAGGTTGCAACAGCGACGAGACCCAGTCTGTGGGAGCGGGACCACGGTCAGAGGACAACCCCAGCTTCCGCTGCGGCAGGGAAAAAACCACATCAACCCACAGGTAGACGACGCCCAGAAGCTCATTGGACAGGATCACCATCACCTGCTCTCCAAACATATGTATCGCTCCAGCTTTTGTTGTTGGCAAAAAGAGACAGACAACAGACGGCGTTTGTCAAAGTTTTTTTTTTTTTTTTTTTTTTTCAAATTTGATACCATTTCTGGCCACCACCAAAAAAGGTACCAGGTTCCCGTTGACGTGACGCAACAAATTTCCACGCTGTAACACCCGATTCCCGCTACTTGGCCTCCGTCGCTTTTTTCCGGCTCCAACCTGCCCTTGCTGATCGATCGCCCGAACGAGGTCCCGTCGAGGCGTCGAGAGTCCACTGGAAAGGACTCCAGAAAAAAACGACGCTTTGAAAAGAAAAAAAAAGCTTGAAGACTGTCGGGCCAACCAGTTTACCCCCATGCACCACGACTAACCTATCACGGACGCCACCACCAAAGCGTTGACACAACGACTCGCTTTCCCCAGACGCAACTTTATTGTCTGGCTTTGCTCCTGTCGTTATCAGTCAAGTCAAGTCAGTCAGTCAGTCCGTCCCCAACCTGACCGCCTTACCTGCCTCAACCACTCAGCGCTCTGTCCGAGTCGCTCTACCGTGCCGGTGCGTGACTGCTCTGCCGACTCATCGTCTCACTGGGCTGTCACGATCTCCCCGATCTCCATCCGGCATCCTCCACCGCGCGCCGTCCCCCACTTCCCACCTTCCATCACGCCGACCCAGCGCCTTCCGAGCTGCACAGGCAGCTCACCTTCACCACGTCTTCCTCAAAGAAACGCAGGATTACCCGCCAGTCGACAAGGGAGCAAGGACAGGAAGGGTCTACCGACACTGCCCTAGACGTGGTGCTCTCTACCGAACAAGAAGCAGAGTTCGACCCGGCCTACTCGTTTGACCACCAACGCTCGACTTCTACATCGGCCTCTGCTTCGGCCTCTGCCACCAACACTCCAGCATACAGCCGCGGCGACTCGCTACCACCTTCAGGCATTCCTCCCCACCTTCAGACCCAGTTCAGCACACTGTCTGGCTCTGCGACCGACGTCTCTGCCGATTCCGCCGCCAGTTCGCCCTGCGCTGCCTCGGCCGATCTCTCTGTCGACAACGATCGTGTTTTCGAGCAGCTCTTCGACTCGAGCTCGACTTTGCAGGCTTCCAATAGCGGGACCTTGAGAAATCAGTCTCCCTTCACCAGCCCGCCCCACCGTGCGCTCATGGGTGGGGCTTCAGAGCAGACACATCGATCTGGTTCTCCCCTGAAACGAAGAGCATCCAGCATGGATCCAGAGTACGAGAACGTGGACGCGCGGGAGGACGTGGATATGCTCACAGTTCCCGATGCCCAGCCCCAAGACCAACAGGCTGGGCAAGATGCGAAAGAGCCTCAGCCCGTGGAAGCAGACGTCGCCGGAGGTACAAACGTGCCTGTCGCTGACATGGAACTGCCGTTGAAAACAGGTAAGCGTGCCAGCCTTCCGTGACTTGACTAAAACCGCGCAGTCTTCTAACGGAAGGAAAATACAGAAATTCCACCGATCGAGCAACAAATCAAGACGATTGAAACACTTCTCAAGGCCTTCAATGATGCGGGCGCAAAAGAGGGAGATATTGCATACTTTGGTATCACGACAATGGCTGAACAAGGCCCAGGCTTTCGGTGCAGATGGGCAGCCCACGAGCAAGGAGGCTTCAGTCGAGTCTCTTGGGCCGATCGACAACTCGGATATCATTCAAGCTATCTTCACCGACTCCGCTGGCCAGCAGTGTGTAAAGCTAAAGCCGGGTGTGGGCCCGGAGTCTGCCGAGCTGTTTCCCAAGGATGCATGGGACCTGGTGCTGTCATGGTATGGTCTAGCGGACGGGCAAACTCCCATTATTCGGATAGCGCACAACACCGCGCTCAATGCCGCCAGCGAGGCCAACATCCAGTTCGAGTTTCACCCCCCCGTCTTCACCATTCACAGGCTATGGTCGGCGGCGAGCCCCCTGCCCATCGAGCAAGAGATTAAACTGAAGAAGCCGCCACCGCCCGTCATTGTCCAAAGCACGTCTGGATCATTTCACAACTTCCTTAAGCAAATCAAGCAGTTGACAGGTGTCCCTGTGGATCGAAAAGTCCGGGTCTGGCAGCGACTGCAAACCATTCCTGCCACCGAAGAGGTCACAGGGCCCTCTGGCATGGAAACCCCTCCCGACTCTCCTGGGCGTTCCTCGAACATACCTAACTTCCTACCTAGGGCTCCAGGCTCTTGGCCCCAAATGCTCGTGGATGTTGAAGACTTCGGCAAACTCGAGCGTGGCGTGGACCGCGATTACCTCGCAGTGGAGGATACTACAACCAATTCCAACTACAACGGGAGGAAGAGTCTGTCATTGGTTGGCCTTACTGTGGACCAAACCTTGATCATCGACGAACAGGTTGACCGGGATGATTACGTCTCAACGTTTTTCACCAAGGTGGCCAATAGCAACAAGACCGTTGGCAACGGGATTGTCGCTCAGGCCCGTGGTGCTGCCAGCGGACGTAACAGTCCGGCTCCCCAGAGCGTCCTTAATAGGGGCCGGGTGCAACCACGATCTGGTCGTACACCAGGGTGCGTTGGCTTGCAGAACCTGGGCAACACATGCTACATGAATTCGGCTCTGCAATGTCTAAGAAGTGTTGAAGAGTTGACAAAGTATTTCCTCACTCACGAGGCCAAGAAAGAGATCAATGCTGAGAATCCGCTTTCCCATAACGGAGACGTCGCTTTGGCATACATGCGGCTATTGGACGAAATTTATAAGAATCCTGCGCCAAACTCGGTTGCCCCCCGTCACTTCAAGAGCATCGTGGGTCGGTATGCCTCCGCCTTTTCCGGCTATGGTCAGCAGGACTCTCAGGAGTTCTTGGGCTTTTTGCTCGATGGCCTACAAGAAGACCTCAACCGCATCAAGAAAAAGCCGTACATTGAAAAGCCAGATTCTACGGATGACATGATCGGCAACCCAGCTGCTATCAAGGAAATGGCCGATAAGGTGTGGGATATCACAAAGAAGCGTGATGACTCGATCATTGCCGACCTGTTCACGGGAATGTACAAGTCAACCCTGCATTGCCCTGTGTGCGACAAGATCAGCATTACGTTCGATCCTTTCAATAACCTCACGCTGCCCCTGCCCATGAGCAACGTCTGGTCCCGGACTGTCAAGTATTACCCGTTGAACGAGCCCCCAGTGGAAATCGTTGTCGAGGTTGATAAGACGAGCGCCTTCAAGGCCATCAAGGAGTTCATTTCAACAAGGGTCGGAGTCCCCCCCGAGCGTCTCGTTGGCGGTGAGGAGTTCAAGGGCAAATTCTTCAAGCAATACGACGACATGATGGCAATTAACGAGGAGATTCAGTCGGCCGATATTGCAGCGATTCATGAAGTGGAAGCCCCACCTACCAATGTCAACGCCAAAAAGGCCAAGAAGCAGGCGTACAGGTCGCTGCTTGACGATACCGAGGAAGAGCCCGCTCAACCTGTGTCAAATCCCTTGGCGGAACGTCTCCTTGTTCCGGTTCTACATCGCATGGACCCTAATGCGGCAAGTGCCAGATACCACAAGAAAGTGGAGGACATGCCACCGCCACATTACATTGTGTTGACGCCTCAAGAGACCTG